CATTCCCAGCATCGAGGCGCGTAGAGGAGGTAGTGGCCTAGTTTACTCTCAACACATCTTTCATTCATTCATTATTATTAATTAATTACTATTATTAAATATTCTTCTTCTTTTTCTTCTTCTTCTTCTTCTTCTTCTTCTTCTTCTTCTTCTTCTTCTTATTATTATTATTATTATTATTATTATTATTATTATTATTATTAATATTATAAGAAGACACCAAGAAGGTTCTGCCACACTTGACCACCAGACAAGAGATAAATAATGCAGTTTGGATGACTGACACTTAAACTGGGAGTGTTGTTAGTTTAGTGGTAATACGAGTATAGCAGGTGGTGGAGCAGGCAGGTGGTGGAGCAGGCAGGTGGTGGAGCAAGCTGTGCTTCACCACCTGCCCACACACACATACACACACACACACACACATAGTAGCGACCAGTGAAGAAGCGGAGCCAGGAGCTAGGACTCGACCCCTGCAACCTTAACTAGGTGAGTACACACACTCAGTCATAGAGTAGTCAGGCCGTGGAATAGCCTAGAAAGTGACGTAGTGGAGGCGGGAACCATACATAGTTTTAAGGCGAGGTATGATAAAGCTCATGGGGCAGGGAGAGAGAGGACCTAGTAGCAATCAGCGAAGAGGCGGGGCCAGGAGCTATGAATCGACCCCTGCAACCACAAATAGGTGAGTACATATAGGTGAGTACAGGATGTTCCAGAGAGGGGACACAGAAACAAGGGGTCACAGTTGGAAGTTGAAGACCCAGATGAGTCAAAGGGATGTTAGGAAGTATTTCTTCAGTCATACAGTAGTCAGGAAGTGGAATAGCCTAGCAAGTGAGGTAGTGGAGGCAGGAATCATACATAGCTTTAAGATGAGGTATGATAAAGCTCATGGAGCAGGAGAGAGAGAGAGAGGACCTAGTAGCTCTCGGTGAAGAGGCGGGGCCAGGAGCTGAGTCTCGACCCCTGCAACCAAAATTAGGTGAGTACACACACACATACACGCGCACGGGAAACCAGGATGGTTTTCGGGATGGGAAATCGTGTGTTGTGAATATTCCGGAGTTTAACTAGAGTGACAGAGATGCTGGGTATATTACATCTTCCTTGGTCTTCAGGAAAGTATTTGATACAGCACCACACCAGTGACTATTCCAGATATTAGAAGAGAAGGTAGAGTTTAAAGATAGAATGTTCTAGTGGGCCAGGGAACTGCTGAATGTCAGAAAGTAGAAAGCAACGGTAAGAGATGAGACATCACCTTGGGAGAGAGTAACGAGTAGGGTTCCGCAAGGATCAGAACTGGAACTACTACTTTTCCTAATATATGAGGACGACCCACCAGAGGGTATTGAGTCCTATATGTCTCTGAAACCAGACTAGTACCAGGCCTGCGAAAGATGCACTAAGAGGAGAGGTTGAAGGAACTAAACCTGACCTCCCTGGCGGAGAGGACATGGGTAAACATGATTGAGACTTACAAATTCATCAGAGAAACAGATTGGACATATAGGGAAAGCTCGCTTTAATAAGACCAGGATTGAGGGGGCACATATGAAAGCTTAATATAAATGAGCTAGAGGGAGGTAGGGAAGTATTTCTTTAATCTTGGGATGGTTACAAAGTTAATGATTCGGGTGAGGCAATGGTAGAAGGAACGCAATATACAGCGTATCACGACATGATAAGGACAAGAGGCCAGAGATCAGTAACGGCGATCAGAGTAGTCTAGGAGTTGATTATTTACCTTCTAACACATAAAGATGAATACATATTTACCATGATAATGTTATAATTATTTTTCACAATAAAACATTGAAATACAAATAATTATTAACTAGAAAATATACATTACTGTTTCCGATGTTAGTTGTTATGGTTGAGTGGGACTCCCGAGCAGCTCGCTGTTATGATGCTGGTCATTGATGCTGTCTTGGTGCGCTTATTGTCTTGTTATGTGACGGTAGTTAAGTTCACAGTCCACATGAACACTGACATCAAGGACATTTTAATATATAAAATATGGATTAAAGTTCATTCTGTCACTCTGCACTGGGAGATACACACACACTTGCCCGTAAGTTCTTGCTTAGTGAGGCTCTGAGCCTGGCCAAGTCAGACCAAGAGGTGAGGTTCTGAACTCGGCCAACAGGTCAGACCGAGAGGCGAGGCTCTGAATCCGGAACCATACCGGAAAATGAAGGTTCGAACCCCGAGGCACACCAGAAGTGAAGGCTCTGAATCCGGAGCACAGGTCAGGGAAGACTGCAGCAACCTCGCCAGTCTAAAACAACAACACACTAATACCTGGGAGAATACACTTGACTAACGAGTTTAACAGCCACTCGATCGGTTCCTATTCTTTTTTTTTTTTTTTTTTTTGGAAACTTTGGTTACCAAGGGTTTTTGAGGATCTTGAAAGGATGTTATTATTTTGTATGATGGCTCATGAAAATGTAGAGTCGGATTCAATAGATGTGAAAATTGGGATGCTTTTTTTGTTTGTTGAAGTAATCGGAACAGTAGTAATAGTGACTGAGATACTTCTCCGTTCTTCTCAGCATTGGACTGAAGAAGCCTCTGGCTGGCGAGAGGTTTCCCAGATGTTGCAGTTATCTCATTCAACTTGTCGGTTTTCCAAACCATTTACATCACAACTGTCGTAATCTACCTGGAGGGTATTCCGGGAGTCAACGCCCCCGCGTCCGGTCTATGACCAGGTCTCCCGGTGGATCAGGACTTCATCAGCGAGGGTGTTACTGCCGGCCTCGCTTAGTCCAACAGAAGAACCACAGCCCGGCTGATCCGGCACTGACAATAGGTATCTGTCCAGCTCCCTCTTGAAGACAACCAGGGGTTTATTAGTAATTCCCCCAATGGCTGGTGGGAGGCTATTGAACAGTCTCGGGCCGTGGACACTTATTGTGTTTTCACTGAGGGTATGTTGCATCGTCAGAGAATAAAGAGAAAACTGAATGGGATACGAACATTGGGGGTCATCTAAAACAAGGCCCAACGCTGTAACTACTCAACCACAGCACTTGCAATAGGATGATTTTTTAATTCAGCACGACTATGACATGGTTGTATCAGCGGCACCAACTGTGATCCCGCTATCTTATCGACTGTCCCAGAAACTATCGGGGAACATCTTTTCTCATGCCCTTTAATTAAGGCCAGATAGTTCATGAACTCGAGATAAGTAGTAATGAACAACTGTCAACGAAGAAACAGAATACTGGAGTGCTGGTGGTTAATTCATCCTATTTTAAGATCTGTGGTTGAGAAGTAACAGCGTTGGCCCTGAGTCATACGTGGACTGATGGATCACAGTTCGAGTTCCGTTTCCAGAATTCTCTTTAGTCATATATATATATATATATATATTATATATATATATATATATCGTATATATATATATAAATTAATTATATATATATTATAAATATATAATTTTAAATTATATTATATATATATGTGTGTTGTGTTGTGGGGGTGT